CCGGCTCCTGACAGCTGAGTGCCGAACCCGGAAGTGTTACTCCATGACAATTTGCAGTGCTGGGGGACAGGATGGCTAGAGGGTTAGAGGAGATTTTAAACTAGTAGTAGGAGGGAAGGTCATAGCAATCTAGAAAATGGAGATAGGACAGAAAGGAGATGGGCTTTATCTCAGTAGAAGGGGGTGGTGATGGGGAAGTGGCAAGTTTAGAACAGAGGAGGTATGTAATATTGATAAAAATTCACAAAAAGTCCAAGTGACTCATGATAATATTAATTGCATGCTTACTAATGCAAGTAGCCTAAATAACAAAATGGAGGAACTAGAGGCAATAGCATACACTAAACAATATGACATAATAGGCATAACTGAAACATGGTGGGATGAGACACATAACTGGGCTGTTAACTTAAATGGGTACACACTATTTAGGAAGGATAAAAAAAAGGAAAGTTGGTGGGGCAAGTGGAAGGTGATGAGGAAAATGTGGAGGCTTTATGGGTAAATATCTGCTTGGGGCAAAAGAAGGGAAACCAGTTATTGGTTGGCATATGTTATAAACCACCAGACAGATCAGAGGCAACCTATAAAAGATATAAGGAAGCCAATAATGTGTGCAAAAAAACTTCAAAATGAAAAATTGTAGCAAAAAGAGAACAAAACCTACCCCAAAGCATTTTTAAGTACATAAATATTTAAAAAAATAAAAATGAAAGTGTAGGTACACTAAAAACCAGGATGGGGGTGTTAGTTATGAAGACCAGGAAAAGGCAGAAATTTTAAATAACTATTTCTCCTGGAAAATTATTTCACCTGGAAATTATAGACCTGTGAGCTTAACTTCTGTGGCTGGGAAAGTATTTGAAAGGTTATTAAGGGATAATATTCAAGAATTCCTTGAGAAGAACTTGGTTATCAGCAAAAATCAGCATTGTTTTATGAAGCACAGGCTATGGCAATCTAACTTCTAACATTCTACAAAGAAGTAAGTAGAAGTATACATCATGGTGTTGCAGTGGATGTGATCTATTTGAATTTTGCCAAGGCATGTGATACAGTTCCACACAATAGATTACTGTTCAAACTCAAAGAAATCGGTCTAAAAGAAAATTCTTGTACCTGGGTAGAACATTGGCTTAAAAATAGAGTACAGATAGTTGTCATTAATTGTACATTTTCAAGCTGGGCATGGGTGGAAAGTGACGTCCCTCAGGGTTCTGTTCTGGGACTCCTTCTATTTAACATATTTTTAAATGGTCTTGAAAAAAGTATTGTAAGTCATTTTCAGTGTTTGCAGATGACACAAAACTCTTTAAAGTAATACAATGTGAGCAAAAAATGACTTTGTTGCAGAGGAATTAAGATAGACTGGGAGACTGGGCACTCAAATGGCAGATGAAATTTAATGTAGAAAAATACAAAGTCATGCACTTCGACTTAAGAATGCACAAGCAATTTATACCCTTAATGGAAGTGAATTATGGATAACAACACATGAGAAGGACTTGGGAATTGTTATAGACAACAAACTATGCAACAATGTGCAACATCAATCAGCAGTGGTTAAGGCCAGTAAGGTATTGTCACGCATGAAAAAAGGCATTCATTCTCGGGATGAGAATATCATTTTGCCTCTTTATAAATCACTGGTAAGACCACATCTTGAATATAATGTGCAATTTTCGGCATCTGTTCTAAAGAAGGATATTATGGCTCTAGAAAGAGTGCAGAGGCAGGCTACAAAATCAATAAAAGGAATGGAACATTTTAGCTATGAAGAAAGGTTAACAAATGTAAACCTCTTTAGTTTAGAAAAACTTTGCCTCAGAGGGGATATAATAACATTATACAAGTATATCCGGGGCCAATACAAACCATTGTATGGAAATATATTCACAAATAGGACTTTACATAGGACACGAGGTCATGTGTTTAGACTGGAAGAAAGAAGATTTAGTCTAAGACAAAGGAAAGGTTTTTTTACCATAAGAACAATACATATATGGAATTATCTGCCTGAGAAAGTGGTTTTATCAGAGTCCGTACAGATGTTTGAACAGTAACTCGATGCATACTTGCTAAAACAGAATATTCAAAGATATATTTTTTCAATGTAGGGTTAAAGCTGCTTGATCCAGGGATAAATCTGACTGCCATTCTTGGATCAAAAGGGATTTTTTTTTCTAGTTTGTTGCAAAATTGCAAGTGCTTTAAACGTTTTTTTTTTCCTTCTTTTGAATCAACAGCAAAATCAAAAAATCAAAAGGCTGAACTTGATGGACACATGTCTCTATTCAGCCTATGTAACTATGTAATTATGAAAGAGTGAATGAGTCACTGATGACCTACGGAAACCTTCCTTACTACTACCCCCTCCTGGGGCTCCATTAAGACTACTATTTAGCTGATTTGTGTACTTATTCTCACATTTGATTTCTCTAAGAACTAGATGTATTTGGGAACGTTGGCATTTCTACAATGTGTACATATTTTTTCTAAACTTTGAATTGGGAACATGGAGGGGCCATGTGCCAGCTGCAAAATATGTAGGGATTATAAATCTATATTTACCAAGACTAGGGATCAACCGTTGCATGCACTCTCACTGTTAATCCCACTTATTTATGCACAGATATCAGTCTGCAGGTTTAACTACTTTTGCCTATACCACTATTACCCTAAGGCAAATATCTTACGTGCTGGACATATTACTATTAGCTTCTTTTTTTTTTTTTATAGAACTATGTGATACATAGTTGCAACAGTTATTCATGCAGTGGTATATTTGATGCTTAATTATCCACTAGCTTAACCAAGAAATATCTGTACCTGGTGATCACATGGTGCTAGAGGGCCGAGGGGACTGCTGGGGTCTTGGGCCACCCACCCTTCCCGACCGGGATCAAGTGAATCACTGGTCCATGTAAGTGTAGCGTTCATATTTGCCGCATACCCCCTTTTATAATTAACCCTTTAACAATTGTTTTTTGACGTACGTACCTAGTATCCGCGGTCGTTAAGGGGTTAATTTGAAAAGGGGGTTTTACAAAAACAAAATGAAAGAAGAAAGTGAATGGGAAAGTGATGATTAAAAAACTAGAAGGGTGATCACTGATGTTACAGACTGGATGTGTGGGGAAGCTTTGTTCTTCTAAGAGTGGAAGAGGTGGGTTGGTCATCAACTGTCCTCTAGCTTTTTGCAACTTAAAAAGACTACTACTGCAGCTGCTCCCATTATTTATTAATAAAAGTTTGCAAAAGAAAAAAACAAAATTCTCACACTTTTTTACTTTAATAGCTTTATAATAATGTAATTATGACAAGTTGACAACTCAGAAATTGCATAGCAAAAATAGTAACATCACTAGACATTAGGCTAGGCAACATTGTAGACATTTTTGCATTCCAGCACATTAATAATAAATGTTTCCTAGAATATTATTTTATATACCATTGTACAGTGCTATGGAATTTGCTGCAGCCATATCAAAAATAAAATAATAATAATAATAAACTAAATTCAGTTGCGCTTGACTGTCACATGAACAAGCGACAGAGGTCCCAAACAAAATTTTAACTTACTGACAATTATTCAGCCAAACAAACAAACAAAAAAAAAGAAATCCCGCCACGCACAAATTCTAATTTGTATAGAAAATAACTGTACTAAAAAATATTTCAGATGTAATGGAAATATGTGATCTTATTGTTAAAATCTTGACCTTAAATAGTACATTAACATTAACTGCATATTTCGCCTCCAGAACATATTTTCTGACATTATTAAGCAGTGTTTTTTTAATGAGATAAAACAAACTGTGTTGGGAATAACAGTTAAAGTAATTTGCTAGAATGTGTCCTATGCCTTCAATAATAATAGAATTGCTCATTATATGAATACCACTGCCTTCACTTGCAATTCAACAGCACATACATCAAGGTGCAGAGAGGATTTAACAATGTAAGTATATTCTGTGATATAGATTTTATTAATGTGCAGAAGCCAGAATCTCCTACAAAGAGTTTAGAGCCAGCTCACTGGCTGAGATATTCAGCTGAGCATGCTCATCTTATGATTGCTTCCCTGCAAGCTGAGTTTAGCTCAGACTTTAGTGGTTATGGTGACTAGAGTGGAGCTCAACATGGCATGATGGACAAGTAATGAACCTAATGCATTGTTGGGATGCATTGACTGAAAGGATGACCTTATTTTAGAAAACAGCTTCAGTTTAAGGAAGACTTAAAAAAAGAAGTATGGTCATATCTCATGAAGGCAAGGACAATTCACAGTACTTTTACTTCAAGGTACCTATTAATAGGGTGCTGTATAATCTATCTTATAAGGAAAAATATAGCATAGAATTTCAATTTATTTCAACAGACACCACATAATGTATTTCATAATGCCACACTATTGTCTACCTATTTTTATTATGAATAGTTCCGTGTTTAGAAAAGGTTTTTTTAAAAAGGGGGAAAAAAGAATATTTGCTGACATCTTAACATTTTACTTTTTGCTAAATTGTATTTCTTTAACCCCTTAAGGACGGTGGGTGTGCTAGGCAAGGCTCTAAACGCCGGCGGGCGGCATAGCACGTCCCCGGCAATCGCGGTGGGGGGGACTCAAATGGCATCCCAGGGAGTCCACCTGCTGCCGTTCTGGCCCTCCTGGGCCATGTGATCGCGAGGTCCTTGCGATGACCTCATGATAACATGGACGGCATAGCCATCCACAGCAGTGCCAGCAGGGGGAGTACCTGTAATTACAGGTAGTCCCCCTGCTGCCTGAAAAAAGTTAAAATAAAGTTTAAAACAGTTTAAAATAAAATAATATGGGGGGTGTGGCCTGACGCTTGAACTGCATGGATGCATCTCCTTAGAGCTCCCGAGGTTTAGGCTAGGCAGGGGCAAAAATAATCGATATAATACTGACTTAAACTGCACTGCTTTAACCCCCCGGAGCAGAGATGTCATAGGGGCAGAAAACCAAACATGCAAGAATGGACAAAGCCTCTTTTTTCCTGGCTAAAGCAGGAAGGCTGAAGAGCCGCGAAGGCCCAAGTGCAGACCAAGATGGCGCAGAGTCCCGCTCACGGGACGGATCGGTCTCACCGACAACCTCCACTGAACTGATACAGGAGGATAACCCACTGACAGAATCCCAAATGTGGGGTATTATGGCAGAGTTCATGGCCACGATGCAAGCTAACATTACATCCCAACTACATGCCTTATCTACAGACCTCCGCAAGGAGATACAGGATGTAGGCCAGAGAACTTCCCATGTGGAGACCAAGCTGGACGGCCTAGCAGGCGCCCACAATGACCTGGCTGACAGGCTCCAGGCAATGGAAGACTCGATAGCCACCCAAAACTTGAAATTGGTGAACCTGGAGGACAGATCCAGGCGCAACAATGTCCGCATTAGGGGAATACCCAAAACACTAATGGTCCCAGACCTCCAGAACTACCTCATGGACTTCTTCCAAGCCTTGACGCCAGAGATCCACTCAAAACAACTGATAGTGGACAGGGTGCACCAGCTGAAATGTGACCACCTTCCCCTGGCCGCTTCAAGATGTTATTGCACGCATACATTTCTTCCACGCTAAGGAATGACTGATGAAAGCATGCAGACGTGCAGACCTACCGGAACCATATGGCAGGATAAAGGTGTTCGCTGACCTCTCCGCAGCTACGCTAACCTTCAGGAATACATTGGCACCCATCACCCAGATCCTATGCTTGCACGAGGTGACCCACAAATGGGGATACTTAGCAAAGCTCCTGATAACCAGAAATGGCTCAACACATCAAGTAGCCATGCTGCAAAACAGCACCCGCAAACTCCAAAAGTGGGGCTTCCTGACAACGAACATAGCTCCGGGGACAACATCAAAGACCCCCAGACTATTGAAAGAATGGACTGTGGCATGATCCTGAGTCTTGAGTCGCCTGGGGTATGGTATGAGTAGGGTACTTAACCGCTGGCACTGCAGACCCTCCCTATATATTAGATGTAAATAGCATAAGGCCCGATGTAGAGATCAGTGCCGCACACCTGCTTCGATACTGTACTCTAAGTATGCCTACCTCGGGTGTGCACTATACCCTCTTGTCAGAAGCACTATCAATGTCACAATGCCTAATGTCTGTTTCTTGCTGGTTCTGCCAAGTTGGCTACCGCCAGTGATTAGTTCTGATGTAACAATTCCATAGACATAGATGACCATTACCTCCGGGCTAGAGTTTGACACTGCCCAATAGCACCTCTTCCTCCTTCCACAGGGCGAGGAACTTCTTCCTAAATTTAGTGCAGCCCATCTAAGCAATGACAAAAAAAAAAGTTACATAAACCAGATTACTGATTAGGTAGATTACTCTGGTTTCCAATACATGCCTCTTGTTAACATACGCCCCTTGCAAGCGAGTGCCTCATACCCTGGGAAACTCCATGCCACTACACCCAACCACCGTGCCGCTACTCGGTGATACGTCTTGACTCACTCTAGATGAGCTGTTACCTATTCTATATTTTCTCCAAGTTACTGGCCCTTATCTCACCCTTCAACACCCTCCCCCCCTAACCTACTACGAGCGATGCAATACACACAGGGCGAAATGTCCAAGTACCCAGGTCTCAGACTGCAACCAAACACACCCCTGCAGAGACATGGGAATGCAGTCCTCCCACCCAGCTGATTGACACGCAAACACCCAAATACCATAGCCCTAACTCCCTTATGCACTCAATGTGAACTGCACCACCCATGATTAGCCGCTACCAATACACTGATTTGCTGACAGGCAATAGAGTTTTACACTTAATAATGTAATATGAAGATTGTAACCTATAATGTTAAAGGTTTAAACACACCTAACAAGAGAAGATTACTCCTGCAGGACCTTAAGAAAAGCGGAGAGGATATAGTGTGTAACCAGGAGACTCACTTTATCAGCCCCCGCTCGCCAAAACTTTACACCAAATTCTTCCCAGTCCAATTCCACTCCCTCTTGGCAAATAAATCTAAAGGAGTCTCGATATTTATATTTTTAAAAAACATAACTGACTTATATTCGGCAAATTACATTAAACTGTGAAATGAATGTAGACTCCAACTCTGCAGATGGAGGCCCTTCTTCCTTTCCTGGGTAGAGAGAATAGCTGGGTTTAAAATATCCATCCTGCCAAAACTACAATACCTGTTCCATACCTTACCAATCCAGCTCCCGAACTCATATTTTAAACTGATCCATACCGAACTTAGCAACTTTGTCTGGTCGGGTGGGAGACCGAGAGTGGCCTCGAAAGTACTACAGGCACCTAAACTGCAAGGCAGCCTCGGCACACTAAACCATGGCTAGATAGACAGGTAACACACATATACCTGTATGGTGGTTTCACTCGTTTATGGAAAATAAAAAGAGGAAAAAAGAGGACATCCAATGGTATAGTATGTAAAATTCAGATATAGACGTAAAATTGATAGTATAAAACTCACATTTACCAGAGCTAATGTCCAGCTCTGGAGTAAAGCGCGTACAGCGGTTTTAATCCCCGCTTATGGGATATAGGCAGATTTTTCTCCGTGGGTGGTATCCAATTCTCGGGATGAAAAAAAATAAACAGCCAATAGTGCTCACTGTATGGCAAATAATAATAAAATAATAAAAGAAATGTACTTACAAAGAAAGAGCAGACCCACTGCTCTTTGATGATAGCTTGGGTGGATTGATCCCCACCTATGGATTTCTTTGGGTACAGGAAACTTCCAAGGATTTTTTAGGTTTCTTTTGAAACCATAAAAATTATTTAAAATATTTTAAAATAACAATAAAAAAGGCCAGGGTAAAAAAGAATGATATGTGTCTATAAAAAAGATAATTGGCACAAGCAAATGACCAAAAATACTTTAATATATATAAAAACACAATTTAAATATCCATAACGCGTTTCGTCACAAAGGGACTTTATCAAATGGAATAACATGATTAACCTGGCACATAGATGTTATATAAGAGCATAGTTGTTTGAATTTTGGCGCCAAAACTTAGTTTGACCAATCAGAATTAAAAACATTTAAACAGCTTTAAAATACATAATCACTTATTCAGCACATAGATTTAGGTAATACAACTTCATTAAAATATATATACATTTAAAACGAAGGTCTAAAAGTGTAATTTGGAGTGGTTTAAAAAAATCACGTGACCGGCGGCACTTCCGCATTTCGGAAGTTCCGCCGCTAAGCATCATGGGTAGTGTAGTTGTTAGCGGCGGCCGTTTTAAAAGTCCTAAAAATGGACTAGGTAGTATTCCTAAATGTGGCAGCAATAAATGAAAACGAAGAGGCTGTGTAATAGCAAGGGGGCTGAATAAAAACGAAGGGGCTAATAAAACAAAATGCAATAAAGAAGAGGTCACGTGGTTTTCGGCAATAGAAAGCCGAAAAGCCTTATGGGGAATGTAGTTTAAAGTAAAAGAACACTAAATTGTGATAATAGCTTAAGGGGAGATATGGCACTTGTTATACTTATAGTAGAGGAGTTAATTAATAATAAAAAGGTAAAAAAACCATAAATTAAACAAATCCACTTTTTGATGGAAAAAGAAAAAAAAAGGGGGAAGGGTATCCAAATTAAAAAAAAAAAGCAGATTGAATGAAGGGTGATAATAAAAAGATGTTAAAAATAAATTGTATAAAAAACATAATTTAAAGGAACACACATAGAAATTCATAAAAAAATTATATAAATCAAAGTCTGCATTGAGGCCATGGGGTATAAGAGTCTGGAGTTTATACACCCATTCCATCTCTGTTTTTCCAAGTAACTTTTTTATATCACCTCCTCGCCAGGAGGTAGAGCATTTTTTTATACCAATGCACTTTAGTAAACGAGGGTCCTTATTGTGCATAATGAAATGTTTGGATACTGTATGATTTAGGTATCCATTTTTAATATTTCTGCAATGTTCGCTCAGTCTTATCTTTAGGCACCTTGTGGTCATCCCCACATATTGGAGGCCACACGGGCACTCGAGCAGATAAATCACATTTTTTGTATGGCAGCTTATAAAATCATAAATATCATACACTTTTTTTGTTTGGTTTGACATAAATTTTGTAATTTTTGATGAAATAACATGATCCACAGTTTTACATACAATGCTTTGTTTAAACCACTCCAAATTACACTTTTAAACCTTCGTTTTAAATGTATATATATTTTAATGAAGTTGAAGTTGTACCTAAATCTATGTGCTGAATAAGTGATTATGTATTTTAAAGCTGTTTAAATGTTTTTAATTCTGATTGGTCAAACTAAGTTTTGGCGCCAAAATTCAAACAACTATGCTCTTATATAACATCTATGTGCCAGGTTAATCATGTTATTCCATTTGATAAAGTCCCTTTGTGACGAAACGCGTTATGGATATTTAAATTGTGTTTTTATATATATTAAAGTATTTTTGGTCATTTGCTTGTGCCAATTATCTTTTTTATAGACACATATCATTCTTTTTTACCCTGGCCTTTTTTATTGTTATTTTAAAATATTTTAAATAATTTTTATGGTTTCAAAAGAAACCTAAAAAATCCTTGGAAGTTTCCTGTACCCAAAGAAATCCATAGGTGGGGATCAATCCACCCAAGCTATCATCAAAGAGCAGTGGGTCTGCTCTTTCTTTGTAAGTACATTTCTTTTATTATTTTATTATTATTTGCCATACAGTGAGCACTATTGGCTGTTTATTTTTTTTTATCCCGAGAATTGGATACCACCCACGGAGAAGAATCTGCCTATATCCCATAAGCGGGGATTAAAACCGCTGTACGCGCTTTACTCCAGAGCTGGACATTAGCTCTGGTAAATGTGAGTTTTATACTATCAATTTTACGTCTATATCTGAATTTTACATACTATACCATTGGATGTCCTCTTTTTTCCTCTTTTTATTTTCCATAAACGAGTGAAACCACCATACAAATAGAAGACCCCACCAACCAAGGATACCTGTAAGAATATACCAGTTGGACTTCTCTCTCTTTTTCCTTGTATTGGACTTTACTTTATGTGCGCAGCCTTTTACTGTTTTTATTTTATTTTTATCTTGTTTTATAGGGTTTGAGGGATTCCCTTTTTTAGGTTGCTGCCAAGTTATTTAGCGCTGTCTCACTTCTTTCATTTAACACACATATACCACCTGTATGAAAACACTGCCTTACTGGATTATCACACATTAGCATCAAGATATAACTTA